GACCCCGGGGCCTAGGTCTTTGCGCAGGGGACCACCGCCCACTGCCGAGCCTCCCTTGTCCCGCCAGGGCACCCAGCACAGCTTCCAGGACACAAAGAGGGAGACGCCAAGAAGCACGATGCCGCAGAACGTCACGATGACCGACAGCAGGCTCACGGAGATGTCTGCAGTGAGGACAGAGGCCAGGGTCAGAGTGCCCCCCACGGCTGCCCGGAGAGCCAGCCCTGTGTTCGCCACGCGTCGTCCTGAGCACCCACACGCAGCGCTGCACGTAACCGTGTGGCCCTGCGCGTTCGGCGTTCCTGTCACGCCATCCTCAGGACAAGCGAACAGAAAGGTTGGGATTTGCACAAGGCGGGACAGGTACCAGACGACAGGCCTGGGACTTGAATCCGGCAGTCTGGATTCGTGACCAGATCTTATTCTCTTCATCGCTAGGGCACACTGCCTAGCAGGTGGGCAGGTCAGGGTTCAAACAGCAGTCTGCTGTGTGGTCTTGGGGACAAAGCCTAACCCCTCTGAGCCTTACCTTCCCCATGCGCCAACAGGAAAAACCATGCCGCCCCTTGCAGTGGTTTTACGGAAAGCAGAGGGCGAGTGGTGTGTGGAGTGTGACAGCAAACATTTACCGGCACCTCTGTGCTTCAGGGACACTTCGCTTACTTATGCCCGACGGGCGCGTGTGAGGCTGGAACAGTTATCCCCATACTCCATAAAAGCAAACTGAGGTCCACAGACGCGAAGGCACTTGCCCAAGTCCCCCAGCTGGCAGGTGGCAGGTCAGGATGAGCCTGGGACGCCTGGCTGGGAGCCCACGGTCTTCACCGTGACGCCCTCACACCTCGGCAGGTCCCGAGACGTGGCAGCTCAAACATGCATCTGCATGAGTGATAAATCCTCTGGCTGCCGCCGCATGGCCCTGCACCACCAGCCCGGTCCCTGACACCGTCGGATGCCTCACACGCACTGCCACGCTCTGCACAGAAAGCCGAGTGCAACCCAGTTCTTGCAACCAAAGGCTTCTGGCCCGTTTGGTAATGGAACCAGAGTGGGGTTTTTCAGAAATGACCTTGTGGAAACGCCCATCTGTCTTGGGGTTGAGTCTCAGCAAGGTGAAGGCCAGGAAAAGCCCTGCTCCCAGCTGAATGTGGACGCAGGTTTTGGGGAAGCAGGGAACCAAGCCGTTACCAAGGGCAGTGGAGCGGAATGGCCGGGGGCGCACAGGGGTGGGGGTGCCTTCTCATCCCACACCACGCCAGGAAGCTACATGACGGGAATCCTCACGGCACTGCGTAACCCAGGGGGGACTTACTCCACTGTACAGACAGGAAAACCGAGGCTGCGAGAGAGTAGGCGACCCTGAAGCGCCATATGCCAGGCACTGGCAGGACCCTGAGTTTCCTACCCACCCACTTAGGGTGCTTCTGACGGGGCCTATTAGAAACCAGAGGCCAGACACCGTCAGGCTGGGAACATCATGAGGAAAGAGGCATTTTGGAGAAAAATGGGACAGATGCATTCTCCCCCACCAGCCTGATCCAGGCCCTGCCTAGGTCAAGACGTGAACCCTCCACGCCCGGACTCGCCCGTTCCTGTCTGGAACTGCAGAGGCAGCGTGCTCATGCAGGAGAGTCACCCTGCCCCGGGAAGGTTTGGCCCTCGACATGCACCTGGGAGGGAACCTCTAAGTGCCGGGACGGTCCTGCCTGATAAGACCGGCCGGGTTTACCTGGGGCCTTGGAGCGTGCTGATGCTAAGAGTGTGGCGGATGCTGGGCCTTGGCCCATCAGCCGGACTTCTAGAAGGGCTGAGGGCGAAGTGCGCCACCCAGGCAGTCCCCCACACCTACATGACCAACCTCCAATAAAAACTCTGGACACCGAGGCTCAGGTGAGCTGCCCTGCTTGGCAATACTCTGCAGCGTGCAAACGCTCCGCTGGGGGAGGCCTGAAGCTCGCGCCTGGGCTCCTGGATTTTGCCCTCCGTGCCTTTCCCCTTTGCCGACTTTAATCTGTGCACTTTCACTGTAATAAACCGTCAGCGTGACAGTTCTGCTGAACTCTGCGATTCTTCTAGCACACCGTGAAGCCGCAGGGTGGTCTTAGGGACCCCCCCCCAGCTGCTGTTGCGTGCCAGACTCCAGGATCAAATTCTGGCTCTGTTCCCTGCAGGGTTCCGAAGCTATGGGCACAGCTCTCCGGGCCTTGCTGCGCAGGGCTCGCCTGGCACCCTGAGCGTGAGGTGCCTCGCGCCACCCTGGCAGAGGGCAGGGGTGGAGACGTGGAGAGAAGGAAGAGCGAGCGGAGGGAGAGCAGCCGCGATGGTGCCGGAATCCCTCACTGCTTCTTCCAGACAGTCTCCTCATCAGGACCGTGGCCTCGTGCGACAGCTCCTAGCTCTCCGAACCCTGCCACTTCCTCGCCGGACGACCTTGGGCAGGTCACTTTACCCTTCCGAACCTCAGTGCCCTCCGTGGAAAACGGGGATTCTCTGCACCGCAAAGGTGGGTGGGCAGTGTGGGCACGGTGGTGTGGAGCAGCCAGTGACAAACGCAGGCCCGTGGCTGGTGTGTCGTCGACAGACCCCGAGGTGGGCTGGATGACCACGTCCCCAGAGCCCCCACGTGTCGTCTCATTTGAGTCTGTCAGCTGCTCTGTGGGGCAGCCACTGTTTTACGGTTGGCTTGTTTGGGGTAGGGCACTTATGCTCCCTGGAGAGGGCCAGAGCGAGGGGCTGTGGGAAATCACCCCCCAAGGGGCATGGCCACTCCACGGTCCCTTCTTTCTCCTCCTGGGATTTTGGGCATGCACGCACATGCACTGGTGTGATTTTCAAGCCACCAGGTGCAGGACTCGACTGGGGCCCAGCGCCGTCACCACCACGCCAGCTGCTGGCCCGGTAGTGGCTTTACTACCCCGTTTTCGGGATGAGGAGACCGAGGCACAGAAGAGTCATGTGACTAAACCCATGCGGTCAGTGAGTGGAGGAGCAGGGATTTGAACCCAAATGAGTCAGTCTGACTCAACATCTGAGCTTTTCACCACTATGCAAGATGCACAAAGATATCTGAAGGAGATATCTGGTGACAGTCGGGGGGGCCATGGGACAAACGTCAAAAGGTCAGGGGTTAGGTGGACCACGCAGCCCGTCTTAGGCCAGAGCTTTTGGGATGGGGCAGCCCAGGAGCGTGGAGCGAGAGCCGAAGGGCTGGCGCGCCAAGGGGCCAGAAAGCCAGCTGGTCCTGCTCAGCCTCCGCTGCAGTGCAGACGGGCTGGAGGGACGGCGGGGGGTGCTGACCTGCGTCCGGACCCCGGGGGTAGCCTCGGATCCGCAGGTCGTTGAACTCCTGGCACCTGTCGCTGGTGTCAGCATCTCGGACACGGGCACAGAGGTCTGAGACCAGGATGAGAGCCCGCCGGCAGAGGTCGTCCTCATAGTCCCCCGACATGGTGGCCGTCTGGCCCTGTGAGAGAGGGGCAGGGCGGGGCACAGGGGAGGGCGGGGAGTGAGAGAGACGGCAGAGAGTGAGAGAGACGGCAGAGAGTGAGAGAGACGGCAGAGAGTGGGTGAGGGAGATAGGAAGGAGCAGGTGGGTTAGGGAGAGGATTGGAGGGAAGATGAGGGGACAGGTATTAGGGAGGGAGGGATACGGAAAATGGAAATAGGAGCAGATGGACGGAAGGACGGAAGTCACAGGTGGACAAACCGAGGGGACACCGACTGGTGTGAGTGGATGAGAGGACAATAGGGACAAAAGGACAAGAAGGAGGAGGCCTGAGTGGCCCATCCAGGGACAGAGCCAGGATGCACAAATCCGGGGGGGCAGACAAGGACACAGGCTAGGGGTGCGCAGCCGAGGGGGCAGGGCTCAGGCGGACAGGGCAGCGCTCCCCGCTCCTCACCCGCTCCGCAGACCCTGCAGACCCAGGCAGGAGCAGAACCACGCTGCCCAACTGCCCGGTGACAGGGCCAGAGAGCAGCAGTCACCAAGCCAGTGAGCAGGGGCAGAGCGCTCCTACCCTAGACATGCGCTGCGAGAAACCCTGGAGGGAGAAACCCTGGAGGGCGAGCCACGGCAGGGCCAGGAGGGCCGTCAGGGAGAGCCTCTGGGGCCTGAAGGAGGACAAGGAGCCCCACAGGCGGCGCGCGGTGGGGTTTGGGTGGGGAAGAGCATTCTAGGCAGATGGAACAGCATGAGCAGGGGCTTAGAGTGGAGAGGTGAGGGGAGGGAGTCCAGGGAACAAGAAGGAGACAAGATCGGGGTAGACAGGGACAGGACTAGGAGGGGGATGTGGACAGAGACGTGAGAGACAGAAAGCTGTCCTGGTGGCCGGGGAAGGTGCAATGCAGACATGGAGATCAGGTGGAGGAAGGACAGATGGGAAGAGGGTCAACTGGGACCCAGACAGGGAGAGGCGGCCAGGCAGAGGAAGTCAGGGCTGGAGATCCGGGATGGGCGCAGTAAAGAGTAAGCTGCTGTGAGGGACCGGCAGTTGGTGTAATGGCTATGTCGCTGAACTCCCACGTAGTCGATCGTGGTTCGAGTCCGGGCCTGGAGGTTTAAACTCACACCGGGCACGTGTGCGTGCCCAAGATCCCGAGAGGAGCATAGAGGAGAAGGGATTGTGGTGTGGCCATCCCCTGGGGGAGAGGGGGAGTGATTTCTCGCTTTGTCTCTCTGGTGAGCAAAAACCTCTCAAAAAAAAGAAAAAGAGATAGAAAGAGAGAGAGGGAGAGCGAGAGAGCGAGAGAGCAAGAGCTGGTGTGCAATTCTTGGGCCAGAGTGCTGTCTGGATGGGGAGCAGACCGGGATGCGGGGAGGCAGGAGAGAGGAGAGTGAGCAGAAACGTCTTTGAGAGGGAGAGGAACAGTGGGATGGAGGGGTGGATGGAAGACAGATCACTAGAGACAGGGAGCCCCCGACTTAGGCAGGAGGCTGGGGGACAGACGGGTCGGGAGGGGAAGGCTGGATGTGGGCAACCTGGGCGGGGGGAGGGTGGCGGGCTGGGGAGAGGGACTTAGTAACACATGGTTTGGTGCCAGACGTCAGAGACGCGCTGGAAGGGGGATGCAGGGGAAATCGGGGACACCGGGGTGCAGAGACGACAGGTGTCGTGGGGTGCTGCGGAAGGCCAAGACTCAGAGTCGGCGCGGTCAGACCCACCTGCGCTTATCCCTGCCAGGTCCTGGGCGGCAGCCGAGGCGGCGGCGGGCGGCAGCCCATGGGAGTTGCAGGGCGGACGGGGGGCTGCGGACCCGTTCCCACGCGCCGGGTGGAGAGCGGGTGTCGGATCTGGGGGCCCAGGCCGGGAGAAAAAGCTCAGCCAAGTCTCACTTCTTGCCCTACCCAGGTCAGCTGCCCGACCCCAGGCGAGCCCCCAGAGGGGTCCAGCCACCCCGCTCCCACCTCCGGGCCCCCAGCTCGCCAAAGGGCTTAGGGACTACAATTCCCGGCAGGCCTCGAGCTCGCGCCGCTGCGACTTCATAGGCCTGATACTGCAAGGCCTGCTGGGAGTTGAAGTCCTTAATGTCTACACCGGCCGCAGAGAGGATGGGAATTTGGGGGGAGGTGTGGAGGGTGGGGAGAGATTAGGATGCCGGGGTCCCAGGACGCTTCAGGAGAGGGGAACATATCCGGGACCTCAGACGGCCTCAGAGTCTTAAGTCTTTAGCGGCCATGGAACAGGCAGACGATCCCCACGCTCTGGCGATCGGTGGTTGAGGGGTGGGGTACACCCAGGTGTTTCGGGACCCCCCCTTTCAGGGCCACGTGCCCCTCCCCCGGGGCGGATAGCGAGCGCTGCAGCACTCCCACTCCCCGGCCCGAGATCCACGCGCTCTGCACCTACTCCCGCCCCCACGCGCCGGGGCCGCCCCCCGGGATCGGGCTGGGGCGGCTCCTCCCCTGCACCCCCTCCTCCCTTCCCTCCGAACCTGCTGCCCAAAAGCTGAAATCGCGCGGCCGCCGCGAGAAAGGAGGGAGATTTCCTGGGACAAAGGCAGGCGTTGGAGACCCAGTGCGCTTGCACATCGCGGATCCCGAGAGCTGGGATCACAACCCGCCGCTCCCCGGGATCCAGGGAGCCCAGCCCTCTGCCCTCTTCTCTCAGACGTAGGCGGCGGGACCCCAGGACCTGGGACTTCAGCTCCTCCCACCTCAGCAGCTCTAAGGGCTGGTGGTGGGAGGGAAGGCGAGGTACCGAGAGCCACAGCCAGGAGCAGGGGTATGAGCCAGAACCTGGGTTTGAATCCTGCCCAGGCCTGCTCCTGTCTGCATGGTCCCACGCTCCTCGCTCTGAGTGAGCCCTTTTGCTCATCAGCAAAATATAGACACTAAACTAATTTCCTAAGGGCTCCAGAGTTTGAAAAGCCAGTCAACAAAGACAGAGCACTGGCTCCAAGTAGGTGCGTACTGAATATTTCTTCAAAGCGGCAGTAACGTTTCTGTGGTATTAATAGCAGGTAATGATAACCGCTACTTAGTGGAGGCCGTGCTAAGTGGTTTGGAAACGTTTTCTCATTTAATCTTCACTTCGGCCCTACCAGAAGGGTGCAGTTGTCTTGTTTCCGTCTCACGGAGGATGCAGCAAGGCCTCTAGGTGCTAAATCCCCGGTCTCCCTCAGAACTGCCCCGGCCACTGGCACCCAAATACATTATCTCTAGGTAAAACTTCGCGCTCTTCTGCAAATGCAACCTGAAGGCAAGTCTCCTGGGCCCTTCCTCTGGCCAGCTTACCCACACGCTGCAGCGTAGGTACATCACAGAGCCTCAGAAATGCCTCCCGGCTCACCCCAAGTCTCATCTGCCAGCCTCTCGCACTGGCCCGGGTGGATCTGCCTTTGCACCTGGAGAAGCTTGCCTGGGTGTGCTCCTCCAGCTGGTGTGGCCGGTTGGGGGCCGCTCTCCCAGTGGGACTCTCAGCTGGAGCCTGCCTGACCCCATTCCACAGGCAGAGACCGGCAGCGGTGGTATATCCTCGGACGGGCTTGTCACGTTTCCAGAGTCGCTCCAACCTCAACCTCGAGGCCGCCCAGGCGTGGAGATGCAGTGTAGACGGCTGGGTACGTAACCTGGGAGCGGGACACCAGCAGGTCACTGTGCCGCTCCCTCTCGCCCGTCCTAGTCTTGGGTGGGTCACTTAGAGTCTTCAAGCCTTTGTTTCCTCCTGTGTAAACAAGAATATCTTTTGCCATAGGGCGGGCGCCACCATGCCCAACAAGAATATCTTTTTAAAAACTTACTCGTTTGGGCCAGCAGGTGGCATGGAGGTTAAGGGCACTGGATTCCCACATGGCCGACCATGGTTCAAGTCCTGAACCTGGTGGCTTGCTCTCTCACTTTCTCTCTCTCTCGCTCTGTCTCTCTCTGGTCAAATTAAAACAAATAAAGTTAAAGGAAATCATTAAAAAAAAACTTATTCATTTAATTCCACTTGTTATTATTTTTTAATATGACCAGAGAGAGACAGAGAGATACAGAAAGGGAAAAGAAGGAAGCAAGCCACCAGGTCTGGGACTTGAACTGCAGTCAGCCATGTGGGAGTCCAGCACCTTAATCACCATACTGCCTGCCAGCCCCAATGAGAATATTTCTAAAAAGCAGATTCTCAGGGCCAGCAGGTGGCATGGTGGTTAAGGCACTGGACTTCGCGTGGCTGACTGCAATTCGACTCCTAGACCTGGAGGCTTGCTTTCTTATTTTCTCTCTCCCTCTCTCGGTACTCATCCCTATAGCAAATTTTAAAAAAAAATAATTAAATTAAATAAATAACCCTTACAAATTTATTTTAAAAAACTGATTCTCCCTTATTGGGTGACTTTGAAGATTAAATTCAGTATACAGGAAGGGTTTGCATGAAATGGTTAATGTTTATGTCATGAGTAATTACACGCATTTTTATCATTTAATCTTTTTTAATGTTTTTGCCATAAAAGGTGTGCACTTGCCAGAGAGAGAGAGAAAGAGAGAGAGAGAGAGACAGTGAGAGAGAAGAGAGAGAAGGTGAGAAATCACCCCCCGGGAGGGTGGTTACACTGCAATCCCTTCTCCCCAGTGTTCTCTTGGGATTTTGGACACACACACACACACACACACACACACACACACACGGCATGATTTTCAAGCTACCGGGTCCGGGACTCAAACCGCAGTCAGCCATGTGGGAATCCGGCACCTTAACCACCGCCCACCTGCTGGCCCCTCTGGTAATCTTTACCGGCATTTGACAAGTGAGGAGACTGAGGTGCAGAGAGAGGTGCCCTGCTCAAGGCCGTGCAGCTGGGAAGTCCGAGCTGAGATGAAAACCCCAGGACTAGCTGGTGGTGCCGCTGTGAAATGCCGCACTGGCCGAGGCTGACCCACCTGGCAAGGCTCTGGGTTCACGTCCGACCTCCGGGAGTACGCTGGACACAAGTGTGCCCACGGCCTGGGGCCCGCTGACGCTGCGGTGGGTCATAGTGCAAGACCCTGGTAGGGGTGCTGTCTCTCTGTCTCTACGTGTGTGTCTCTCGCTCTCTCATGAAAGAAACAGGTAACATAAACTTACCCCCCAAAAGAAAATAAAACCCCACGGGTCTGAATCTGGAGGCCTCGCGTTCTCACTGCGTTTGTGTATTAGGACCCGAGGACCTTGCCCGGTGTCACCGAGATGCGGGACGGCGTAAAGGAAGAGCTTGGGCCAGGGCAGGGAGGCGGGGGGGGCCCTCACAGCTGCTCCGTTCAATGCGTGGTCACCCAGCGATACCTTCTGCGCACCTACTGTGTGCGTGCATTCCCCCAGGCACCGGGAGTCAGCTGGGCCAAAACAGACACGCTCACGGAGCTGACGAGGCTGCTCCTCCCAGGGCCTGCTACGATGGAAAGCCCAGGGTGCTGGGGTTTGAGAGAGGCGAGGGCTTCCCGGAGCAAGTGTTCGCTCAGCTCGGAAGGGTGTAGACTAAGCCAGGTGAGGGTGGGGGGAGGCAGCCTGCTGCAGGGAGAAGGTGCAGCCTCTGTAATGCGGGGGCAGGCCGGTGGGCACACTGGGGTAGCACTGTGTCTATCCCCGCAGACATAGCGCCTGGCGCCTGGTAGGCACTTGCTACGTAGCAGCTGGCTGGAGAACGAACCAGTGGTCGGATGAAGGGGCAGGTGCGTGGCGTGGCGGCTAGCAGGCTGGGTGCGTGGCTGGCTGGACGGAGGGAGGGGTGGCCGGCTGGGCAGACGGCTGGAGGAGTGACTGGGCGGGTTTACACCAACACCTACAGACTCACACACAGATGGAAACAGAGGGAGACGCGCACATGTGTGTAAACACAGGCTCGCCTCTTCCCCCGCTGCTCCCTGCAGAGAGCAGGCCACGCTGGCCGTGTGAGGGAGACGGGCGGCGAGCCCTCTGACCCGGAGGTGCCCAGCCCCATCCCTCTGCGGCGCCGACATCATTTCTGGAATTGGAGGAAAATGCTGATTCAGGGATGTGTCCCAGGCTGGGCACCAGGCCACGGAGTGGGACAAGGATGGCCCGAGAAAGACAGGGTGAGTGGTGGGGGACAGGTGGGGTAAGGCAGAGAGACGGGCTAGGAGATGGCAAGAGAGATAGATGGGGACCCAGACACAGAGAGATGGAGACACAGACACACGGAAAGGTAACAGACATGCAGAGGGACGGGGCCGGCAGGTGGCGTAGTGGTTAAGGCATTGGACTCCCACATGGCCAACCACTGTTCAAGTCCCAGACCCAGTGGCTTGAAAATCGCACTGAGAGTGTGTGCGCATGCCTGAAATCCTGAGGGGAATAAAGGAGGGATTGCAGGGGGCCATCTCCTGGGGCTGACTTCTCACTCTCCCTCTCTCTGTTGCTATCTGTGCCCTGTGGCAAACAAACAAACACCTGAAAAAAGAAAAGAAAAGAAAGAAATGCAGAGTGCGGGGCAGAGACTCAGAAAGGCATTAGGCGCAGGGAGAGACGAGGCGGGGTTGCAGAGACGGGGAGGGAGGAGAGAGCACAGCCATGGACGCACACAGAGCTGAAGACAGAGACCCAGGGCCCAGGAGAAGAGAGATGGAGATAACCAGAGACAGACTCCCCAAAGCAGCTGAAGTGAGGCCTCCCCCACGCCTCGTCGGGCTCCGGGGGGCTGGCTGCACCTGCCTGCGAGCGCCAGCAGCCTTGGCGGTACCGTGACTGCTGAGATGTGGGGACCGAGGCTCAGAGCGCTGACGCCCGCTGCCGTCGCCCGGCCTGGGCCTGGTGTTGGATGCTGGCCTGTCTGACCCTAGCCCCAGCTCACTGTCCACCCTATGCTGCTTGGTGAGGACCAGGCTGGACAGGGCCGACGAGGTCGGGGGCTGCTGAGTATGGGGCAGATGGAACTCACGTGCTCTGAACGTCCCCGAGGCCTGGTCCCGTGTGACGCGATGCTGGAGAACCAGGGTGAATCAGGGAACAACTCTGTGAGCAGGGACGGGGGACAGGGCTCAGGGTCTGGGGAGAGGCAGAGGGCGCGCAAAGCCAGAAGACGGAGACTGCACCTGGGAAGAGGGGTGTCACAGAAGGCTTCCTGGAGGAGGGGGCATCTGGGCTTCTTCATCTGGGACCTGGGGAAGAGGGGAGGTTGGAAGAGCATTCCCAGTGAAGGCACAGCAGGTGGAAAGTGCAGCATGGGGGGACTGCATGAAATTACAGGGTGGCTGGGAAACGTTTGGGGGGTGTGACAGCGGAAGGTGGGACTCGATCACGCAGCTCTCGAAGGCCCAGCTGAGGGCCTGAAACATTGTCCGGAGGCAGTGGGAGCCGTGGGAGCCGAGGGCGGGGAGGGCAGTGTCAGCCCTGGGTGCAGAAAGAACCTCTGGAGCC